GGATTGGAAAATTCACCATAGAAACTGTATCAATCCTAAATCGATGCACAGGTTTACTGTGATTCCTTTCAAAGTCTCACAAAGATTATTACGTGTGTGTGTGTGTGTGTGTGTGTGTACACTAAAATTGGAATAGTTAAAATAATTTTAAAAAAAGAAAGTAGGAGAAATCAGTTTGCCTGGTTTTATGAGGTTTTATTTTATTTTTAACTCTGGGAATATGTGTGGGGATGTGCACATGAGTACAGGTTTCCACAGAAGCCAGAGGAGGGTGTTGGATCCTCCGAAGCTGGAATTACAGGCAGTTATGAGTCACCTGATATGGGTGCGAAGAACTGCGTAGGGTCTTCCGCAAGAGCAGTATGTTCTCTTAACTGCTGAGCCATCTCTCTAGTCCCCAAAGATTTATTTTTAAATTTCTATTCTTATGTATGTGTGTGAATGTCTGCCATGTGTGGGGATGCCCACAAGGGCCAATAAAGACTCACGTGCTCTGGAGCTGAAGTTATAGGGAATTATGTATTTCCCAGCATGGGTTCTGGGAACAGAACTCAAATCTTTTGCAAGAGCAATAAGTGATCTTAACTGATGAGCCAACTCTCCAACCCAGGTTTCCCTGGTTTTAAGACTTAACTAGTCATCTATTGCAATCAAAGTCGTTTAGGGTTAGCCAAGGAATAGAAAAATGGAAAAGAAAAAATGTGGGAAACTAGAACATAGAAACTAGTCAACAAAGGATGGGTGGCTTCTTGGTAAACAATGATGGAGAAATGGGACACTCCCAAGCAAAATCTCCAAACCAACCAACCGAAAACCCTTGAACTAAACCTCGCAAGTTCTGAAAGAGCTAGCTCAAAGTGGATCATGGATTTCTGTATAAGATGGGAAACTAACCCTTTTAGGAAATAAGCAGGAAAATAGCTTCAGGATTGGACAAAGAGTACTTGAATTTCTTACAAAAAGCATAATCCATAAAATAAGAAAATCAGCAAATTGAGTTTCACTAAAATTAACAGCTTTTGTTTTGGATGAAAAGGCTCTCAGAAAATGAAAAGGTGAACTGAAGCCCGAGAGAAAATATTCTCAAACCATACATGAAACAAAGGACTAATATTCAGACTATATAAAGAGCTCTCGAAACTCAGCCAAATACAATACCCTTGAATGAAAATGACACTACAGAGCACACCACAAAGCTGATGAATGTACGGCAACAAAATTTTATTTTAAACTGAGCAATACAACCACTGAATGAGCAAAGACACGAAAAAGCATGTCACGGCCAATACACAGATGGCAAAGAGCACAGAAGACCTTCAAAATGACTAGCCATTAGGGAAGTGATGATTAAAACCATAATGAGACATCACTGTACATCACTCAAAATGACAATAAAAAATAGTGACAACACTAAGTGCTGACACCATGAAAAGAATCTGGGTCGCTCATATATCACTGATGGGAATGTGCAGTAGGTACAGCCCTATGAAATCAAGTTGATGGCTTATTAAGAAAATGCTAAACATGCAACTTATCAAATAGGACCCAGCAATGCACTCTTGGGCATTTATCTTGGAGAAAGGAAGGCTGATGCTCATACAAAATTCTGTACATGAATATTTATGGCAATTTTATTTGTAACTTCCTTCAAAACAGTGAATGAATAAAGGGATTGTGGTACATCTAAAACATGGAATATTGCTTAGCAATCAAAAGGGAAACTATTGATATGTGCAACTTAGGTCAGTTGAGTAATCAAAGTAATCTCAAAATATTACATGCGGCATGGTTCCACTTATATAGTACTCGTTTTAAATTTATTTTATGAGGCAGGATCTCGCTGCATATTCCAGGCTATCCCTTAGATCTGTGATCCTTACTGCCCCTGCCTTCTGAGTACTGAGATTACAGGTATGAGTCACCTTGCCTAGACACTATCTATATAATATTTTTCAATGACAAAACTAAATGGACAACAGATTAATGGTTGCAGGGGGCTGGGGATGGGGGTGAGTTGGAGCAACATGGAGAATCCTTGTGGTATTTTGACTATGTTAATGTCATTAGCCTAGTTTCGATGTTCATGATTCCATGAGACGCAGCCCTTCCACAAAACAGGGTGGAGGATAGATATTTCTCCAAACTTAAAAAAAAGTGAATCTATAATTATCTCAAAATGGAAGTTTGATAGTTTTAAAAAATGAGGACAGTGGTGAGGGAATATTCACCCAGGGAGCAGAATTTTGGGCATGAGATTGCTTCAAATTTTCACAAAACTTCATATGCATCTGTAATTATAATTAGAATACTGGGTTGAGGAAGTCTCTGTAGTAACACCAAGTTAACAAGTGACCTGACTGGCTGAAATTAGCTACACTCTGCCATTGGCCACCCTAGTGCTGGCATAGTGGGAACAGAATAAACAGAACAGAATAGTGGCACAGGACATGAAGGCTTTACCATGGACTCACTCCAGCCAAGACTGATCCAGCTATTGCCACTGATGAATATCAAACTGCTAAGGACAGAAACCAATACTGACTGTTCAGTACATCCTAAGGAAACCAATGCTCAGTCCTCAATATACTTTTAGTCCTCAAAATGCCTCAATGAGACCAATTAGCCATTTAATAGCAAGTTGGTTACACCAGGTTTCTTCCCTCCTGGAGAGCCAGGGGCTTAGTTTCATAGGATTAGAGTTGTATCATAAGTTTTGGTTTGCTTTTTCTGAACACAGCTAGCTAGCCTCCGTATCAGACAGACTTTTTAGTGTTCAGTCCACTAATAGGATCTCAGATGCCGTTCTGACGGATCAAGCTGCTACATTGTGCAGCAAAAGATTTACAGGCACAAGTCCAATAACTAGTCATTTTGTGCTGTGCACCATCCAGACACTATGAGCCTGGTAGAACATTGGAGTGGTTAGCTGAAGGCAGTGTTGAAGGACTAGCTCAGAGGCAGCAATCTACAAGGAGGAGGTGTCACCCTCTTCATGCATCAAGTCAAGACCCTTACTACATGAGCTCCATAGAGACAGAAGCCAGATCTGTGCAATGATTTTTACACTCCAGAGTAAAAATTTCTGTTCAGAGAGTCCAATGTAGAGTAAATACTCAGTGTTCACTGAATGATGTTTCTGAGTGTGGGGTCAGTGGATGTCAAGCTGGCCTCCTGTCCTGCATCCTCCACAGTCTCTTGCCTCCCTATCCGCTGCAGACAATGGGAAGGTCTTTTCCACAAGCATGCTCTGAGATGGCTCTAGGGTACGCTTTAGACTGCCCTTCCCAGGTTTCAGTTCTAGAAGCCGACCACACAGCATCCTTTGTGGGAACATCTATTTCACTAGGACTTATGGTATAAGGTGATTATGTGATGACTAGGAACATATTGCACCATGTTCCATGAATCTGGCCATAATTTAGAGACTGAGCAGATCACCCATTTCACTCTTCCCAGCTGTCAGGACCCTCTAGACAAACCGTGGAAGTTCTGCCCAACCTTGCTCACGCATCCTTCATTTACTCCCGTGACAGCTTTTTTCTGCCTAAGGTGTGTTCCTTGTTTCTGTTTCTCAGAACCCTATGTAGATGGAGGCCAGGGGACAGCCCCAGGTGCTGTTCTCAGGGACTGTTCATCTTGTTTTTTGAGATAGCGTTTCTCACTGAACCCGGACCCCACCAAGTAGGCTGGGCTGGATGGCCAGTGAACCCCAGGGATCTGCCAGTCTCTGCCTCCCTAGTGCTAGGGTTACAAGCACTCGCTACCACATTCACTGTTTTACATGGTTTCTGGGGATCAACTCAGTTTCATGCTTGTGTGGCAAACATTTCACTGACTGAGCATCTCCCCAGACTTTTAATTTTTCTCACCTTTCCTTCCTATCCGTATAAGAGAACTACGTGTACATAACACTGAAGATTGCTGTGGGGATGGAGGAGCCCCACGGAAGTGCTCTGTGCATGAAGTTGCTTTGAAGGATATAGGCTTGTCCCTGTGTTTTTCACACAGCTCCTGTCAGCATCACAGCCTGACTTTGTGGCATAACAGCCATGCATGCCAGCCGATTAAATCTTCATTCTTTTCCCATCAGTACCTCAGAGTCTACCTCAATTTTTTTTCCTTTATCACACTGATTTGCTAACCACCCCCAAGCACACACACATATACACATACACACGCACATACACACACACACACACACACACACACATACTCCTCCATCAATACTCAAGAATTGGCATAAAGTGAATTCTGATACTAGGTCTTTCTAAGAATTGGGAGCCTAGTTCTTTCTTTCTGGTCATATTTCGGGGGAGATGATTCCCATATAACTGTAGTTTCATCTTTGAACCCAGTAATTCAACCTATGTTTTACAGTAGAGTTTAGAATAGAGGCCTTAGCTGAGCCTGTAGAGGGAAACTGTACCTAAGGTTTCACACTTGGCTTCTCATGGGTACGGGCTCTTTTCTTACATTTGATTCATTGGAAGCTGATGCTCAGACAAGGAATTTCTTTACAAGTCAATTCTCGAAGAAGGCCCAGTAAGGGTGAGGGGAGGAGAAATGGGACAGGAAAGTGGCAACCAAGGCAGGGTAGAAGTAGGCAGCGTTTCATGGTGGTGGCTTTGCCTTGATCCTACCTGGGAGCTCTAGTGTTTAATAAGCCTCAAAATTTGTCTTGATTGCTTATTATACACCTGCTCGTCAATGGCTGAGCAGTGGGGGACAGGGGAAGCTCACTCACCAGACATGGAGCTGTCCACACCTTGGGTGAACAGTTACAAGCAAATCTCTAAGCAGAGCCTAGAATAGTGACTGAAAGCTAAGGTCACCAGTGATGGAGTTGGGGCCCATGAAAATGGGAAAATGGGCCCCCAGGTAAGCACTGACAGTGTCTATCTTGGTTTCTATTCCTTTAGGGGAGGGGAGTCCCTTCCTTTTCACTCATAATTCCTGGCACACAAGCAAGTGAGCTTTAGTTTTCTTCTGTTGTTATTGGTAGACATGAAAATGGGAAAAGAGGCTGGCATTCTTTGATAAGTTTGAATAGCTTACATCTTGGTAGTTCCCTACCTAGTTACAAACTGAACACTCTTGCACGAGAAGTCACAGATAAGTATGTGCAGAGTACAATGGCCCTAGACTGGAAATAGCCCACATGCCCATCAAGAGTTCCTTAGATGCATCCATTGTAGTATAACCACATGAAGTAATACTATATAGCAATTAAACAAAGAACTACAGCTTCACACAAACTCATGAGAGAATCTCAAATAAACTTTTGTAAAATACTGCAGTGACACAAAAGAGCACATAAAGATTTCAAAAGCCACCTAAACTAAACTACAGTGTTTACCATTGCTGGCATTGATGGCAAAACTTAAAAATAGAACAACAAAGGGATAAGCACAAAAATTTATAACAGTGGTCATCTTTGGAAGGTGTGGGATAGAGGGGAAGTAACTAGAAGGAGAAGTTATCTTCTAGAGGACTGACTGTGCTGTTTCTGTTACCTGGGGAGTGGTTACAGGAATGCTCGCTTTGTGGTAAGGCATCTAGAGGCATATATTTGTTCTACAAACTTCTCTCAGTATAAGTTATATTCAATAATCCAAAGGTTAAAATATCAAAGGCAGTTTAAAAATTTTTATATTTATTTATTTAGTTAGGGTTTTTTTTTGTTTTTTTTTTTTTGAGACAGGGTCTCCCTATAGCCCCAGAAGGGAGCTTGAGTTCAGAATGCTCCATAGGAGCCGAATGGCCTTAATGAAACTGTTCAAGTTCATGTGCTTTTGGGTTTTACCTGCTGCAAAGAAGGGTAGAAGGTGCTGAAGGCAGTTGGTAAGAAATGTTAACTATTCCTTGAACAGAATCATTTGAGGAGGCTATATTTCCCTCTGCGGAAAGGACTGGCTTGTGGGGGGTGTTTGAAAACTTCCTCTATTATAAGTTATATTCAATAAACCAAAGATTAAAATATTAAAGGCATTTTAAAAATTTTTATATTTATTTATTTAATTGGGTTTTTTTTTTTTTTTTTTTTGAGACAGGGTCTCCCTATAGCCCCAGCTGGCCTGGAATTCCCTGTATAGACCAGGCTGGCCTCAATCTCAAAGCTCTGCCTGCCTATGCCTCTTGAGTGCTGTGATTAAATGTATGTGCAACCGTGCCTGGCTTATTTTTATTTTTAAAAGATTTAATTTATTTTTAATTGTGTGTATATGTCTGTATATGGGCATATGTGTGTGCAGGTGCCTGCAGAGTCCAGAAGAGGGCATCAGATTCCCTGGAGCTGGAGTCATAGGTGATTGTGAGCAGTCCAATGTGGGTGCTGAGAACCAAACTTTGTTCCTCTGCACGAGGTGATGAAATGAAGCATCTCTCCAGCCCCTATGATAATTTTTTAAAAGAAGGTTTTATATAAAATTCCCTTTCTGCCATTTCCCACTTTATTATAGAATACAGAGTATGGGACATGAAAGGAGGGGGAGAACTGCTTATGGGAAGAAGGGGACCAGCAAGAGAGTGAACTGGGGGGAGGGTACTGGGGGAGGATGAGTAAAAACAAAGTGTAAGGATATATGTATAAAAATGTCACACGGAAACCAATTGCTTTGTATACTAACTTAAAGATAGAAAATGTTTTATATATATGTTATTTTAATCATTTTAAGTGTGGGAATCAGTGGTGTTAACATTCATAATATTGTACAACTGTTACTATTACTCATTTCCAGAACTTTCTCATCTCCTCAAACAGAAACTCTATGTCCATCAATCTCCAACTCACCATTATTCCCACTGTACACCCTGGTATCATATTTTATGTATTCTATGTTTTTAAATTGACCTATTCTAGGTATTGTATGTAAGTCAAATCACATAACCCTTGTGATTCTATGTATTGATAATTTTACTTTGAAAGGAGAATCCTTTCAAAATTCATGTATGTGGTAACATATATTGAAAATTCTAGGTTGGAGAGATGTCTCAGCACTTAAGAGCACTGGCTGCTCTCACAGAGGACCCAGGTTTGATTCTCAGCATTCACATCACAGCTAACAACTGACAATAACTCCAGTTCCAAGGGAATCCAACACCCTCTTCTCACCTCCACAAGCATTGCATGACATGGGTGTACTTACATGCATGCAGGCAATACACTCATACACACAAAATAAAAAAAATAAAAATGTTTAAAAAACTTTACTGAATAGAATTACAATATATGAGTATACTACATTTTGTTTATCCATGTTGACAAGAGTTATGCTACTTCTATCTTTTTGGCTGTTGTGGTAAATGCTGCATTGAACATGGGTATATGATTATTATTTGAATCTTTGGTTTCAGCTCTTTTAAGAAAAACTTTAAGAACAGAATTACTGAAACTGCTTCACTTTCAAGCCAAAGAGATGAACTTCTCATCACAAGAATTTTTCACGTGATTCCCAGCCAATGGGAGGGGTAGACATTGGAGCATTGGACAGAGACAAGAACATGAGAACGGCTCTTGGCTTTGGTGAGTGGGGACTGATGCTTACAACTACTTGGGTTCTGGTCAGTTTCCCTCTCTGTGATCTAACATTAAACTTCTGCTCTCTTGGCTGGGGAACCCGACGGTTGCATAAGGACAGAACTCTCTTGACAATAGGAAGAGAATAGACAAGATTGAGTGGGGAGGGATGGGAGGTGGAAGAAATGTGGAAGCTAGAAGCTGAGGAAACAGAAGACTACAGTCAGAAATCAATGAATGAGGAAGAATATCACTTAAGGACAGAGCAGGGAGAAGCTGCCATCCAGGGCCCAGCCTCTAGATGCTACCCCTGGATTTCAGAAGAAAATAATAACCTGTCACTCTTAGTGATCAGCATTCCACTTTACGGGGCTCAAAAGCATAAACTCAGCATGCTAAGAACGGGCATATTTAAATCAGTGAAACAGAGCAGTCCTTAGCCTGACACTCCTGGAGCACATTCCCACCTAATATATTATTGACAAGGCTGACTTTTATCAAGACGTTCTGGCCTACTGTGTAATAAATGTGTATCATCTGCTTTTTATCACCCATTACCTCATTAAAATAATTGTCTTAATTTCACTGTTAAAGTGATTAATAGGGCAAGTGTTAAAGGAAATTAATATTCAAAAGGAAGAATAACTGTAGCCAAAAAATAACTCCTCTGAATTGGTCTGGTGGTGAAGCTAGGGATTTTGTAGTTAATGAGCCTTAGAGAGTTAAATATAGACTACTCCAGGAGAGTGGCCAACTGTGAGAAATGGAGAGCAAGCCAGGAAGGGTGGGAAAGCATGAAGAGAGAAAAAGACAGTGGTCCACACACTGTGAGCTCATGGAGGGGAAAGGGCCTACTGGCTTCTCTGGCCTCACCAAACCAAGCACAGCATTCAGTATCTGCATAATGCTAGGAACTCAGGCTTGGTCCATCCCAGCATGAAGTGAGATCCTACAGTGAGAAACTATAGCAGCTTGTGCTATGTGGCACCTTAGACTAAGGCTGAGCAACTGAAAATAGAATTAGGACCAGGCCCACAACAGGCTGATGCAGCACCCCTTCCTTTCTGAGCCACATTAAGTATGTGAGAGTTTTCTTCCATCTGTGTCCAGCCCTGATCCTAACACAATGGCTGAGAGCTTCAGAAGTTCCGCTTCACTGGAAAGGCAAATGAAGGGGTGTCTCCAGGGCAGAACTGTAGCCAATGCCTGGAGGGTTATGTTGGACCAGCTGTCCATCTCCACAGGAACTGTGAACATGGGGAATTGTGGTTCCTTTTGATGACTCTTCACTTCTTCATTCATCTCATGTTTATGATCCTCCTTAGATATAGCAGGTTATCCTTTAAGATTTGGGCACAGGAACGCTGGAGATGTAGCTCAATGTAGAACACTTGTGTAGCATGCACAAGGCCCTGGGTTCAATCCCCAGCACCATTAAAAAAAAGAATTGGAGTACAACAGCAGGCTGATGAAAAAAAAAAGACACATGAAAACAGATAATTATTGAAGATGTATTGTCTATTTAATGTCTACTTACTTGAAAATTATATGTATACATATGCATATGCATGAGAGACTCCAAGTTTGCCTCTCAGCCAAAGAAAATTTCTCAAAATACCTTTCTGTGTGCCTTTGCCATTAGGTGGGTCATGAAGACCCTCATGAGCTGTGATGTGCACTAATTACTCTGTTCTGATGTCATTCTAACCTTTATTTCCCTGGAAACATCTATGATGTTTAGTGGAGACCAGAGGTGTTCAGCGAGGGTCACTGAACTACAGAAAAACGTGAGCCTGTCACAGAAGATGACAACAGGAGCTCTACCAGTCCAAGGTGGCTTCTCTGAAATGAATAAAGATAGACAGAGTGTGAGGAAGTGAAGAAGAGCTTTGATATTAGGGAAGGTATCACAGAAGTCATCACAGCCTATGAGTAGGGCAACCACAAATTTTCTGAAGGAGGTTGGGAGAAACTCTGATCCAAGGCAGGTCATGACTTTAGAGGGTTGACAAGGCAATGGACAGTGCTGAGTCCATGGAAACAGTTGTCCTGAGGCCATGATGGCAGGGCCCAGCATACTACTTTGGGTAACACCTGGTGCTGACTTCCACCTCTGTACTAAATATGCCAGCACTGGGGAGGGTTGGAGTTCAGTACACATTCAATTTTATTTCTGAAGCTTTTTCAGAGCTATTGGGATCATATAAGTTGCTAACATATGAGCCAGTATAGCACATTGGAAATGTAAACAGGTATTCCACTAGGATTGTTTCCACTTAAACCTTCCATTTGAAACATAAGTATGGAGGTAATCACATATATGAAAATCGCAGTGTAAGCACTCCTGTGTGATGTATGTGTTGGAATTCTGTCAATCTGTGGAGGAATATAAATTCATTATTACAAAATTAAATGGTGCAACAATTCATGGCCACTGTAAAGGCTGCGACGTTTATGTGCAAAACATGGTTCAGAACTTTGGCGAGTTGGATGGAGAAAGAAAATGGATATGTGCTACTTAGGTAAGTTTAGGAAGAAGCTTCCATCCCTCATGAGTGAAGAAATGGTTATAAAATTTAAATAACAACACAAGCTGAATATAGAGATTAAATTTCATCATAATTGTTATCTTTTGTATAATTATTTGCAATTTTAGCATTTATCACATTAGTCAAAATGACCTTTAAAATTTGTGGTTAGTGTTCTTTTTATTTTTATTTTAAATTCCATTTAGATCCTGAGCCATTTCTTCCTAGCTGCAAATTCTCTAAATTTTGGAGTTTCAATTAAGAGAAATATGTCTCCATGTGAAGGAAAAAACATCAAAAATCACATGTAATAATATCCATGATAAACTGTCTTCTGTTAAGACATAATAAAAATATGAGCATGAAATGAAAAATGCATTGGAAACAAATGAGGCACACCTTACATAAAATAATCTGCTCTCCCACTCACCCCAGTTGAAAATGAACATCCATCAGAAGCTCAGGGCCCGTGGCAGCAACAGAGAGCCCCTTGCTGCTGAATGACAATGCCAAGGTTCTGAAACTTAACAACCAAAGCTGTTAGTGAGGCAGAAGGAAGAATGACAATTGCTGGAAACATTTCAGATTTATCCCTGAATTCCAGATGTTCATTTCATGATGGTGATGCTCAGTTCAGATCAATGTTGATTTTCTCATGTGGGGTTTGATCCAAACATGAGTTCGCTAAGCATACTCCTGCCTGGTGATGGGTGCTGCAGAGGGTGTGATAGGAACAGGGATGCAGTCATGCCTGAGGGTGAAGGAGGAGGAGGGAGAGCTCCTTCTAGAATCCAAAATGGAGATCAGTACAGTAAATTCAAAATCTGCCTGGAGAACAACCTGGGGTTGTGCATTCTAGGAAAAAGGAACACTTTTTTTTTTTTTTTTTAAATTTTAAATGTGTTTTGAATGCCAAACACCACATTGTAATTTTCCACACATTATTTTCTTTCATCTTAAACCAACAGGCTGCGGCAGGCAACCCTTTCTTCATGTTACACAGGAGCGGAAGGCCTCAGAGTGGGAGAAGTGATGACCCTCTGCTGCCCCAAGAGTAGCACCAGAAGATTCTCCCAGCCTCACGGAAATTGCCTGAAAATGCCCATAGCCCTGCAGCCCAGCCTCTTCAGATGCCTTGCTGGAGGAATAGCTAAGGGAGCCCCTACCATTTGCCTGAGGTCAGAATCCTCAGAGGCCCAGCACCTGTGGACTTATTTTTAACCCTTATTTTAAAGTCTGGTTTCTAGTACCATACCAGTACCATCTCAAGTTGGTAGCCATCTTCTTTCTCAGACAGGTCCTGAGTATAGGTGCCTGGCCCACTCTCTGGTTCCAATAATCAGGACCTCTTGGTGGTCACTCTATAAATCAATCCCCTGTCCAATGGCTTGCTTTTCCATGGAGGCTTATTTTTCATGGTCTTTTCCCCTCCCCCTCCTCTTTTGTCTCTTCCCAGGAAGATCTGCTGCCTGACGTAGCTATTGTATTTGGAAATGAGCCGCCTGGACTGATGAATAAATTGCATTTTATCCCTCCCTGTCACTTCTGGTTGGGGAAGCAACTAGGAGATGAAAGCAGAGACTTCAAAAGCACTTCTTCTGACATGGAACAGACTTTCATATCTGAGTCTGCCTGTCCATGTTAAACCCAGAGCCTTGGAAGCTTGGTGAGAGCCAGGTCTCAGCTAGCACAGAGAATCCTGATGGCCTCCCTGGTGGCTCAGCATTGCCTTGAGGTCAAGCCTCTGGGGATGGGCATTTGGTGGCCACTGTCTTCACTGAATCAGTGAAAGGGCAGAAAAACATTCAATTCTGGGCAAAACAAGCCGGTAGGAAGTGATGCTGCCCTCCGCCATGGCAGAAATTGGTCACCTGCCTGAAATAGCCCTGCCTGAGTAACTGAGCATTTCTGTTTGTGCCATGACATCAAACCAGGTACAGCAAGCCCCAACACCATTCCTTTGGGAAAAACTGTGATGGAGTGGGTCCCCAGTGACTCTCTGAGGATCCCCTGCACTGCCTGCCATCTGCCTTTGTGCTCCAGGCTGAGCACACAGCCTAGGATCTGCTTTTTTAAAATAAATGGGTACCTACTGGGGTTCAGAGACTTAGTAATTAGTTCCCCATCCATCTGACCCATTCACACCTGTTGAGTAGAGAAACTCTCCTTGATCTCAGGTTCTGAAGAACAGAGCCTTCTCTATTATCCCTGTCTGGGGGTACCAAGTATCTGGAACACCGAGACGCAAGTTGGCTTTGGAAGCACTTGCCAGAATCAAATCAGCTTGTCGTGGAATCACAACATTCAAGCACAGCTCGTGTCTTGTGAAATCCTGACGATTTCTGAGCACATGCAGAATGTAGTAGGTGTTAGGTGCAGAGTTGGGGGCCAGTAGAGACGGGGGCTCACAGGTTCATTTTTGTGTTAGAAAACTGAAAGGTCAAAATTAGCTTCTGTTCTAAGAGAAGCCAGATAGATAACAAGTAGCCTTTCACTTGGTCTCCAAGTCCTAGAAATAAGGAGTGATGGTGCCTGGTTCATGATTCTTGAGAAAACTGAGGTGGAATCATTTAAAAAGTGCCCAGTCGTAGTGCTGATGCTCAGTGAACAGCTATACCCACACGAGGGCATAGCTTCATGGAAAGTGCACTGACTCTGGAGATGGAGGATTCAGTCTTACATCTCACTTCAGGATCGGGGGCAAATAATTTACTGTAAAAGTAACAGGCCACCATCACTAGATACCATTTGTTAAGTGTTTAATATGTACTCTGGTACTGTGGTACGATCTCATTATTCCTCACAAGGGGTAAATCACTTGATGAGACTTAAAGTCAGCTTTCATGAACTTAGTCCATACTTATAACCACTGCAATCTCTTCTCCATTCAGTCTCCCTTAATTTCCCTGAGCCTCAGTTTCCTCAGTTGTAAAATGGGGTGATAATGTCCATTTTACATGTTTACAATAAAAAATGAAGAAGATAACATGTATGGCTCTTAACCAATAAAACTTTTCCTACTATTTAACCACTTCTGGAAGGAATACTTCCTATTAGCAATTGCAGAGTGCAGAGTCCTAGACCCTGAGAAGAGAAGGAGGCTTTATAGGTCACTGACTCTGGCCTCCTTCAACTCTGATAGAAGGGAGGGCAGCCAGAAGGCCTGACATGGCATGGCTGAATTCCCAGACAGCAAAGGATAGAATTTTCCAGAAACTGACTCTGGCCTCCTTCAACTCTGATAGAAGGGAGGGCAGCCGGAAGGACTGACATGGCATGGCTGAATTCCCAGACAGCAAAGGATAGAATTTTCCAGAAAGTAAAGATGTCCAATCTGGAATCGAGGATTGTCTTGGGAAATTTATGGAGGCCAGGGCTTCCAGCTTTTAGATTCTCATCGCAAAATTCCTTCCAATTGGCGAGAGCTCATAGTTCCCCTTGTAGCAGTGCTATGAGTTTTCTGTCACTTGGGGGCATATCCTGCTCTAACTCCCTGGCAAACTGAAGATCACAGAGCCAGTGCCCCTGGGAACCCTATCACCTGCCTTCTCTCAGGAGCCCTCTCCAAGCTGGAACCATGGTTTCTGTTTTGCTGATGGGTAAAGAAGCCCTTTGACTGGGGTGCCTTACTGACAGGGTAGGAAGTTGTAAGCAAGAGAGCAAAAGGGTCTATTCCATCATGGCCCTGACCCCGACTTTGATCATGCCTTGCTTCCTGAGAAGTGTTGGACACTTGCCCAGCCTCAGTCATTTGAGGTTTACAGGGACAGCAAAAGCTATGTGAAACCAGAGAGCTGCCATACGCCACCGCAAGTGACAAATTCACGGGTGTAGAAAGAAAAAGAGCCCTGAATACTGATGGCTGCACAGCTGTGAGAAGTTAAGTTTCCAGAACTGCAGTGAGCAGCCTTGCACTGGAGTTTTATGTCACTTGCTCTCAATTCCATTTACAGTTATTTCTTGTTTTTATATCACGTTTTATTGAAATCCATTTTTTACTTTAATGCTGGAGGCTCTGCCATGGATCTTCTCCCCCTTCCCCCACCATTTGCCTCCTGAGCACATGAAGATTCCACATGAAAGTTCTGTTTTGAAGCATCATGGGGCTTTTGTTCCTATTTGTTTTTCTCAGCAATGAGTATTTAGTTTTCTGAAATCAGGTTGGAGATGCAGCCATGAAACCTGGGCTGTATTTCAGAACCCATGTGCAAGTTTGCTGACTGAGGTGGAGACATGTGCTTCTCTCTCTGAGGAGTCAGTCAGGACCTGTCCTTTCAGTAGACTCCACCTATGAGACTATCTGACAGCCGACAGGATGGCTAGAGCTTTCCTTACCTCTAACAGCAGGCTCGGTAAGGAAAAAGAAAGAAGAAACAAAAGCAGTCTTTGTACCTCTGAGGCTTCAGAGCATGTCTGAAGTGAAACCCAAACAAGACCTAAGCCAACTCCATTTCCTACTGGCTTACTCAAGCCTCCTAATCTCTTTCCCACTGGGGTCCCTGCCTCCTTCCCCTCTCCCTGCACTGGAAGGTGCTCCCAAATGCCATGATCATCAAAGTTCCCATCAGCTCAAACCTTTCAGGGCCCCACTATATCTGATCTCTGACTTCTGGGTCTCTGGAACCGCTCACGGCCTCTGTGGTAATCAGTGGGATTCTTCGCCAATGTGGCCCATGCCAGGTCACCTCCTCTTCCCCATTGTTAGCCACTTGTCCTCTCCATGTAATAGCAATACAAGGATTGCAGCTTTCCATCTGGTCTAACTTCTTAGAGATAGCTCTGCACACCCCCATCTGCCCTCCCTCTCCAGAAGCCTCCCAGCCCAGGCCCTTTCCTAAACTGTAAACCTCTGGTTACTTTGTACCATGGCTTACGTTGCTATGAACTACTGAGTAGTTTGTCCCTTGATGGAGTATGCATAAGAAAGTTATAAATAAACTCTGAGCCCATTGCTTTATGCCATTTGACCTATATGATTTTAGGCAATTCAGCCTTCTATGGTTTGGTTTCTTTATCTATACATCGGTATATGTACAGACAAGAATGTACATAATCGGTTCCTACTTGTATGGGTGAAGTAGAATCAAATTAATTACCATATAAAAAGAACTTATTATAGTTCATGCCACAAACATAATTATTAAATAAATGTAACTTTTTGTTATTATTGACTCCAAATCACAGAAATAAACTCAAGACAGCTTACATTATCAAAGGACAATTTATGATTCTGATGTTACAGAAATGTCTGGTGGACCCAAGGACAAGGATGTACCTGGACTTCAAGTAGGTACTGGTGACAGAGGAGAGACTCGTTTGTCCACAAGGATCCTCATCCCTCTGCTTCAACAGAAAACACACTCTCTGATAGCTCTAGAGTAGAAACTCGCATCCAGCCACGTCGAAAGAAATTCCCCTTACTAACTAGCTCTAAGGGAAAGTCTCTGCTTGACTGAGTGTAGGTCAGGGTCTTATTATTCATCTAATCAACTCTGTCCAAGAGGGTATGGCAGGGTCATATTATACTTAATGCCTATAGGGTTAAGTATGTTGGGGGTGTGGGTGGCAGTCACTGAGAGGAATGAACCTATCAGCCACCTTAAAGAAGGTCTCCTACAAAAGATAAGCAAAGACTTTCACTGTGTTAGTCTTTTGGAAGCACACAGTGCCTCATATAGCCCATGGTAATTATACATGAACCAGAATTGAGATGTAAACTCAGAATACAAGGATTGCAACTCACTGGTTCTGGTCATTAAAGTTTCAAATAAGTCAGTTAGAGAGGTTTTCAGAACTCCCTTGGGCTTGAAGCAATGAGTTGAGGCTCTTTCTTGCTTCTCCCTGAATCCTTCTCTCTACCTTTGCCATATGTCAGGACACTGGTCCTTGAGAACAGCATGAATGAGCTCAAATTATAATCATAACTTTGGAAGTATGTGGTTCCCAACAATCTCTTTGTCCAGATAGCCGACAGAGGCCCGCCCCACCCACTGAGCAAGGCTTGGCCTCTCATTTCTTACAGTGAATGGTCTCTCAGGCCACAGGCACTTCAATTTTTCCTTTGGGTACTGACCACATGGGTGTCAGTCAGAAGGGTCTGAGCACTGGGGGAACAGAAATGGCTTTGGAAGGATGCCTAAACTTAGGTCACCCTTAGCGTTGAACTCATACCCAAGGGAAGTGTGAGGATGGGCCATTTGGAGGCCATGTCCTTCACCTTTGCTTTCCACCCCAGCTCAGTCACACCGACAGAGAAACAGTCCATAGGCTTCCTGCTCTCACTCCATTATCTTTACTGTAGAGGGAAGTGGTTCTCAGCCTTGGCTGAGCATCAGAACCATGGAAGACAGAAAAATCTTGACTCTTGGGCAGTGTCCCAGACCAATAAGACCAGAATCTCTGTGGGCAAGGCTTTTTTCAAAGCTCCCCTAAAATTTCTAACCATGGAAAAAAAATTTCTGTAATCTTCAACTTCCAAATAGCTGCCACCCACTGAGCATTCCGTTCTGTGGCCAGGGTCCGCAACTTCTCACACTAGTCATGCTATTATTTAATTTTAAAAACATTTTATTTATTTGTATTATTTTATTTTACATGTATCAGTGTATTGCCTGCATGTATGTAAGCGTATCCATGTCGTGCAATGACCACGGAGGTCAGAAGAGAGTGTCAGATTTCCCTGGAACTGGCATTACAGAGAGCTGTTAGCTGCCATGTGGGTGCTGGGAACCGAACCTGGGTACTCTTCAAGAACAGCCAGCACCCTTAACCTCTGATCCATCTCTCCAGCTCCTGGTCCTGCTATTTAAATACTTCCAAAGCTCAGAACAGGTATTTGTCCAAGGTAAATGACAGCACTTCAAAGGAACATGCAGTTTGTCACAATCCAAGCATGTTCCAAGGCAGACCGGCTAGAGGAGCATTGGTCATGCGTTTCTGTCCTCACTCCCTGAACAACATTTTTCCTCATAATGATGACAGTGCCTGAGACGAAGGTTTGCCACTCACCCTGGGGGTCGAGTACCTCATTATCTTTTAAAAAGGGATGCAGAGTCACATTATTAAATATATTTAGGAATGGATGCCGAAGTTGAAGATAGAATCTCTGTGTGTATGACCATCAGTGTGATGCTGGCAGCAGCAGCATTTTCTGGGTCATGGGGACAAATTATCTACAAGTATCAGAAGCCAGCTCAAGCTAGTATTGGAGAACAGAAGAGGTGAACTGCAAAGATGCAAACTGCAAAGATGTGGGCGTGTCTTCTCGAAGCAAGAGCAAAAGGTCTGGCTGGGCCCCAGGAAGTGGCTGAGCACCTCCTACATGCTCTGCACCTGCACGCTCCTCTGCCTTGCCTCTCTGTGGCTCTCTGCTTGCTTCCCTGAATCTCCTCTGAGGTCTATAAACAGTTTTCCTGTTTTTCTCAGTCCACACTACATGCCATTAAATTTCTAAGTTCTAGTTCCAGCCACATGGCAAGCTTAAATTTTTTCTTGCTCCATTTCTGAATGTGAAGGACCCCCAAATGTCCCATAGTCATAATATAAGTCCTGATGCCGTAAGATGGACAGGGAAGACTGGTGCAGGCCCCCAGCTTGCTGGATAGGAAGGACACTGTCAGAGAGAGGAGGATGACTATGGATTGGGATGGTGTCCCAGTTAAGAACACTAGCATGCACTATAATTTGCTGATGCAGATACAGGTAGGGGGTTCTGTTTTACTATAGTCTACCACAATCATTCCACATAGGCATTCTCCTTTTACAGAGAAGAAAACTAAAAAAACAAAAAACAAACAAACAAACAAAAAACTGGAAATGAGAAAATCCCAGCACACTGTTGCTGGTAGTGGATGCAGGCATTTTGAAATCTTTTTCTCCTAGTGATCCATCTAGACTGTATACCAGGTATGATTATTCCCCCAGGATTGTGCCTACCTATGTGCATCTGTGTACATCTGACAATCATTATGTGTGCAGTCTGTCTGTGTATGTTTGTGCTTGTCTGTGTGTATATGCATGCTTACGTGCCCCTGCCTCTGTGTGTATGTATGTGTACATGTGTGGCTGTGTGTG